GCTTTATCTCAGATGGGAGCTTCGAGAGGCTTCAGCCATTGTGTACTGGAGCTGTCTCTGCGCTTCTAAACACTTCCACAAGTCTTCATGCTGCACAGTCAGGTCATGAACCGGGCCTCTTCCTCCTAGAAAAACAATAAAATATGAAGATCTGTACCAACAGGTGATGCAACGTTTAACAAGAAGTCAGCAGGAGGTCGCGCTGGAGACGGGGTGCGCTGAAATCATTTACAAGGCTCGTAGTTTAAACACAAAGTGGAATCGGCGAGAGGAGATATATGATGCTTTGAAAATGGTTGATAATATTTGATAAAAGTCTGCTTCCTGGAACTGTAATCGGCGCATCAGTCACGGAGTTTACATGCGGGGATGTGACTTTTCGACATTTTTACACTAAACAGATCAAGCTTTTTGGCAATAGAGAAAAACATTAGCTTATATGAAATGCGAGTGTGTTGGATCCCCTTCAGGATTAAACTGCTGCAACACATTAGACATAGTGTTTTCCAAGTTTAGCCTGTTACTGTCTGCTTTGTCTCTATTGTTTAAGACTTTTACAACATTGTCTGCACTAAACAGATCCTCCCTCTGCTCTTCCATCTTCCTCAAAGACTTTTTTCTATTGTTGACTTAATTCATGAATGTCAAGCTAATGGATGCTGACAACTAGAACTAAACATACTCTATTCTAATCATGTATTTTTGTGTTGTATCAAGGAACCAGCATTTTATTTATTTTTAATTATGTTTTTATTTCAGACAAACTAAGGAGCAACTCATAAAAACATATATATATATATGTATGCTATATGCTATAACAAAATCAAAAAACAATTTTGCCTGAAAGGGACTGGGAAGAAGAACATTTGTTTAATCCCACTACATTTCCCATTTACACATTGCTCTGTTGCTGCACACTTCAAATTTGATGTAAAAAAGAATACATATGAGCAAGAATGAATACATACACGTAAAAGTTTCAAAACATTCAGCCAAGCACCTCAAGGAGAGAGAAGAGAGAGAGAAAAGAGGTGATATTTTTTGCCTAAGGACACAACAAAATCTAACCAGCAAAATTGGGAATAGGCGCACATGCTACTTCTGCTAAAATATATACAGTATTTGTTTTAAACTTTTGCTCGCTTTCATTCCCAGTGTCTTAACTAAATGATTTAGTAAAAGAGACAAACACACCGCTGTCTGATGGGATTCTGTGATTTTAGTGGAATAGTTTACCTACTGATTTGAACTAAAAAAGCGTGAAATGAATGGTTTAAGAAGTGACAATGTCCCAACGCAGTCATGACAGCAAAAATATGAAAGATTTGTTGTCACGTACTTTAGGTCACAGCGAAACCAAAGGTGAAATTTATGCAAGATAAAGAATTACACATGATGGAGGCTTTGAAAAGGGTTGATACTGTTTGATAAAAGTTTCCTGGAAATGTATCTGCATCACTAAATGTCTCTAATGTGCGCTTCAATCTTGGTCTTTACATGTCGGGATATGACTTTTCACACAATCGGGATGACCTTTGCTTTCAATACTGACTTTCTGAACATGAACAATCACTGACTGTATATTAGGAGTGGACTGACAGATTGCTGACGTCACTATAGTGTTTGCCAAATGGAAGAAACCAAAGGAATTTAATTAGTCAAACCTTATGGCTCCTATCTGGTTTCATGAGTGAGTGAGTTTAACACAAATGGTTTATATCGAGAAGTTTGCTTTTTAATGTAAATCAATGGGAGCCAGAACAAGTTGGAGCAAAACTTTGGGCTTATTTTTGTATAGTACTAAATCACAACAGCATTCATCTCGGAGGATTTTCCAAAGTTGTTGACTCAAAGGGAGTGGGATGACCAATGTCCAATAATGTTCATAAATATTCTTAAATATCCAGGATCATCACTGTCCTTAGACCCTCCTGCAGGTCTAAACACAGTCTACATTAACCTCAACACTTTTGAATGTATTTGTTCCATTCTGCTCTGATGTAAACTGCGGCAAAATACATCTTGCAATAATTCCATCATGTCAGGGAAGCGTTTTCTAGACAGTGTGAAAAAGAAACATCCTCATAAAAAGAAATCCACTTGGGACCAGACTTGTGTGCACTGTCTGTTTGCAGGTCTCGACTCTGGCACAGGAAAGCGGCAATACCAATAGACGAGCACACAGGGGTATTGTGGGTATGAGCGGGTCAGGTGCCACCCCATAGAGCGCACAGGCAGAGCAGAGCAGCAGACAGAGAGGAGGCTGGGATCCACACTGTCTGACGGGGAAATCTGGTTAAATACGCTTTAATCCCGTTGAGCCGCTGCTAAAGCTGACACTTCCTCACCTGCCTGATGGTCGTGGGAGAGTGACTAAAGCCAAAATAAGATGGTTAATATCACCAGATGAGATTTTGGTAGCGTGTCGGCCTGCCTACTGGGAAAGAATGTGAGATATTTCGTGAAGAAATTTTTTCACAACGTACATACTTGCATAGTGATAGGTGGAGCGGGCCGCAGTTATGAAGCCGGTAACTCTCTTTGTCTTAGAGCATTCTTTCAAACATACATATTTCAAACAGAGGTTGTGGTTTTTCAACAAATGTACAGTTGTGTTGCCATTTCTCCATTATGAATCTATCATCAATCTGGGCCTCACAATTCAAGAATGTACATAAGTTTGTAGCCGCGAAGACAAAAGAAGGCAGATATTCAACACATATTTCAGATCGTTGTTTCCGTACAGCATAAACAACTATATATTTAAAGGTGCATTCTGTAACTTCTCTGGGGGAGCTGTGAAAGTGAAGGGTTTGCCATGTTTACAGACACAAACATAACAATTTTGATATTGGATTTTTTTTTTTAAAGAAAAAAGACACCTTAAAGGGAATGAAAAATGATGCAGTACATAGTTTTGTTATTTTAAAAAGAAAAGAAAAGTAGGTATTGTATTCAACAGTCAATACCCCTTTTGCTCCAACTGTTTAGGGACAAGACTTTGTTGTGGTCTTAAAAAAGCTGAACACTTTGAACATTCTGTGACAGGTGCGCAGGAGGAGGCTCACAGCTACGCCAAACTTTTTAAAGGAAAAAAACTCTCAAACACTGTACTTACACCAGTCATTTTTACATTTTGGCCTTCATCAGGAAAACTTGAATTGAGACCACGGCTGAAGCGTTGCTCATCTGTAAATAACATTTGTTTGGATGTACAGTTTTTTTTCCATTGTTTTATGCACAGGATTTCAATGCCATACTGTGGAACGTTTCCAGCAAAGCAATATCATCATCATAAGACAAGCAGGCAGCAAACACTATTCAAAAAAGCCGTAGTGAACTGTATCTGTAAAATGATTACCCCAAACCCGAACCCTCTGAAGTGGAACTGCTCCACAGCCTCACTCTGGGAAAAGGGGCCGTCCGCTCAGTACAAAGTCAGACTCTCCTTTTTGTGAATGGACTGGAGCATATAATTACCTGGGCTGAGCGGCTCAGTGTGGTCTGCTCCGTCAGCCCCACACCCGCACTGCGCGCCACTACAACACACACACACACACACACAGGCCTCGTGCACGGGCTTGAGCCTACATTCACACTCACACACACGCACGCACACATACGTACACATACTGACCCTGTATTTGCGCGCGCCTGGATGGACACTCACTTACACACATATACACGCACACACACACACACACACACACACTGACCCCGTGCGCGCGTCTGGGCCCACGGGCACGTTTGCTTACACACTCACTGCAGGCCTCCTCCCAGCTGGAGGAGTGCACAGCTGCTCCTGTTTACCCTGTTGGGACCAGAAAAACATCCTGTACAGTTCTCCGGGTGAAAAAACCTCCCTTTGGATAATAAACACGAGCCAGCGGCGCAGTTTGAAGCCTCACTTTGGGTGGGTTATGTGGACAGAGACCATAGACCTCCTTCAGCAGCAGGACGTGACAGACAGAGAAATGTTTTAGTGAAGGAGGGAAAAGAAATCACAGAAATTCTTGAGTAAGCATTTTTTACAACTGTACATTCTCTGGTTGAATGGGAACGACATATTTGATCCGTAAAATCACCAAACAGTGAAGGGGAAAAAAGTCTCCCTGGTGTTTGTTATGAACTTATATAAATCCAGGATGGAGGATCAATCATTGTTTGAACTTCTGTGTAACAAGCGCTTCTTACATATAAGCTGGTCTATTCACAGCCAATGACGTGGCTAGAATCCGTAGAATCTGGCAACCTCAAGCAAAGCTCACCCATTCTGCATTCATAATTTGCTACACTCAAAAATGAAATATCCACCTTACATGTATGTACTATGTCTCCTGTTGTCCTCCCCTTTATCCAGAACGAGATATTATATTTTGTCATAACATTTAATTAACATATTTAAACAGAATTATGCAAATAGGGCGCTATGTCAATTTTTTACAGCGGGACACCCCATACTATAGCAACAAAAAAATGGCAACTTTTACAGCTGTGAATGGGAGCTTTAGTGATGTAGAGCGAATGACTTAAACCTTTGGCACGGCAAATGCAGATTTGAAATTGCCGTCTTGCAGTTGTGACAATACGCCTGAAGTGCTCTTGACTTTGACCGAGGCTGCTTTGGCTCTTGTTGTGTCTGGAGCCGGGAGGAGGAGAACTGGGCGAGGAGCTGTTTGGAATGTGGTCGTGTGTGAGCTTGTGTGCCATACACTATGTACGTGTGCGTGTGTGTGTGTATGTTTTATAAAAGGTTTTGCGTTTCTTCACGTCGCCCTCCTCCCCAGTGCAGCTGACTGTGGCCTAAGCATTTTAGCTGGCACGTAAAAGACATTCCAAAGGACACACAAGTATTGCCTTTGCCCTTTATGTAGTGTTGCGGTAGGGTTTTAAGAATGGCCGCTGTGGACAAAGCAAAAAAAAAAAACCAAAGAGAAAAAATAAATTGTTTTGAGCGGCCACAACTTATCTGATTGGTTTGGTTTTGTGTTTTTTTACAGCAGTGGCATTTCACAGTCCTCCAGTCACTATAAAGAAGGAACCTCAGAGTCCCGGGTCGGACCCCAGTCAGTCCTGTAGCCACAAGCAGACATTCAGCTACCCCAGCGGAGAGCAGTGCCTTTACGCCAGGTTGGTGCATCTACAAATACCACTGAAACAACTGTGTACAAACATATAAGCATACACACACCCACACAATGTTGACAATTATCAGCTCTATCAAATCTAATCCAGTACATTTTATTAACAAAGTGTCGATGTGCAGATAGACACATTGATAATAAATTCACCCACATGTAAAATTCCAATTTTAAATCTTTACAAATTAAGTCAATAAATAAATAGATTAAGATTAAGAGATTTTTTATTTGTTCCACAGTGGGGAAAATTCAGTGCGGCATCACAAAGTTACAGAACAGAGAGAATGAGGAGCAAAAAAAGTGAATATCAAGTAAAAAGAAAAAAATAGAATAGAATAAAATCTCTATATTTAGCTTAAAAAAGAAACATAGGATAAACATGGTGACTTTTCAGAAGCGAGATTTAACTCAGTCCTATGTACAATACATAACATAAAGCGCCTCACACACACACACACAAATGTTACCCCATACAGACCCCTCCCCAGCCATATTGCTCTGGTAACCCCTCCTTTATTCCGATGACCACACGTGACAGTGACGCAGCTCAGGTCAGTCAGCGATAGGTCAGAGCACATGGTATTGACCTCTGCATCACACCAGAGGTCGATATGTGTACAGTCCACTCCAATCGACTGAACGTAGCTAAACAGGCCTCCAGGACAGACATGCTTTCAAACACCCTTTAATATGTCTAATCCATTCAATTCCAGTCATTTTTTGTAAATCACAACAGTTACTTTCACAGGACTTTACAGAAGCGTCGACTTTGCCTACACAGATCAGAGAATCAAACATACAACTATATATTGCTCGCAGTTGCTTCTTTATTATGCCAAAGTCACACTGGGGTAGTCTTGCACAGTTTTTCCAATGTGGTTTTACTGCAAAAGGCATATACGTTCTTGTATCCTGAGTTTTTATTTAATTCTTGCTTCTTCATCATGCTATGCTTCTATCTAATGATATCGAATGCCTGTGTCTCAGTGCCTATGAGCAAAAGAGGGCTGCAGCGGGGGCCAAGAGCTCCTGTCCCGGGACCCCTATGTCCCCCATGACGCAGCAGCACTACTCCCCCAAATCCACTGCAGCTGGACGGCCCGATGCGGGGTACATGAACCACGCCTCGGCCACGCAGCCACTGCCCAGCAACAGCTTCCACCTCAATCCCAGGTACACACAAAGTCCTGCATCACACTCTTTTGTGGCGAATGATTAGATCCAGAGAGAAGGGTGTGTTATCAAGCGCGGAACACAGGGGACATTTTAAGGTCTAACTTTTATCTAGAGAGATTGGAATAGCTTGGTCTCTTTTAACTCGAGAGATTGGGATAGATCGGTCTCTTTTAATTAGAGGGATTCTAACATGTTTTTTTGTTTATAGCCAGTACTAAAACATTTTATTGTTGTATACAGTTCATGTAACGTCATTAGAAAAGTTTGACCTTTTCTATCATGGTGGAACACGGGACAATGTGATAATTAGAAGTGTAGGACAATCAATATCGGGACATGTGCTTCCCCTTTGGTACAGTCTAGTTTTTTAGCTGTATAGACAGATCAAATCCATGTCATTTGTTGCACCTAAACTCCCAGCATCTCAACGGATGTCACCGAGTTAATGATTTGCAAACAGAATATTATAAACTTTGACTATTAGAGTCAAAGACAAACCGATAAACCCATGTTCACAGGTATTTTTGAGTGCATGGATAATTGCCCTGGAGCATCCCTCAGTTCCCTCGATGACATATAACAATCAAGTCAATACACGTCATCTGCCACATCAAATAAAACTTTATCCATCTTCTTTGTCAGAACATATCAACTATGGTCTGGTTCTTTTCTGTTTAGACGTGATCACAATATAGAAAAAACATGAATGATGTTGTCTAGTAGAAAGGACTCAAACGAACTCAAAAGAATAATACGGCGGTTTGTAAATCTGCTCAGTATGAAGTAATGATCTTGAAAGACATATTTTTTCTTCATATTTCATTAAAAAAAAAAAAAACATCTTCTGAAATAGACTTCTTGAACATGAACACCATCTTTTCCAATTGAGTGAAAGTGCATGTTGTTCCTTGTCAGCTCCAGGTACCAGGGTCATTCAGGAGACCCGATGGGCCCGCCTCAGTTCCCCCCTCCAGCGCCGGCCTTCCAGCGCATGCCCTCTGCCCCGTCGGGACACGGCAGCAGTGGGACAGGGGGAGGTGGGGGTCCAGGAGGAGGAGGAGGAGGAGGAGGGGGTCCTGGAGGAGGAGGGTATCACCGGCAGCACTCGGACCCCTGCATGCCCTACCTGCAGCAGAGCTTTAAGCAAGAGTACCTCGACCCCATGTACGAGCGGGCGGCTCAGGGCCTGGCGGGACACGGGCACAGGGCACACCCGCACCCCCACCCTCACCCACACCCACACCCCCACCCTCACTCACAGCCGCATCAGCACCGCTTCCCCCCCGCCCACATGATGGTCAAGCAGGAGCCCACAGACTACACCTACGAACCTGGTGAGTACAGAGGAGCTAGTTTTCCAACACAAAACCAATGCTATTAGCTTCTGTCCGGGATGTGTAATATGTAACTTATATATATTCTACATCTTTACACAGAAATATAACCAAACATCACTAATATGTAGCGCTTTTTTGGACACTCAAAAACGTTTTACATGTCATTATTCTGTCAATCCTTACACGTTGGTGATAAACTACTACTGTAGCCACAGCTGCCCTGGGGCACACTGACAGAAGCGAGGCAAACAGTCTGTGCCATCAGCCCCTCTGACCACCACCAACCATTCACACACACACCAGACTCATTTTAGGCAATGAGGATGAAGTGTCTTGCCTAGGGACACAACAGCAGTTTGGCACTTTAAGAGGTTAAGTGACAGCAGACAGTGGGAGTCGATGGTGAAAGTCTTGAGGTGGGCTCGAACCCACAACCTTCTGGCTCAAATGCTCTCTACCAACTGAGCTACTGTCGCTCTAATATATATACAAAAATCAAACTCATTATATTAATTCTACCTTAAAGGTGATGTCAACAACTTAAATCGTATATTTCATTCTTAAAATTATTTATATTTCTGATCATGGGACACTGTACTGTGTGGAGTTTGCATGTTCTCTCTGTATATGTGTAGGTTTCTTCCAGGTGCTCCGGTTTCCACTATCACTAAAAACAATTACATGTTTACAATAGCCCCTCCCCTTTGCTGTACCACAACCAGTAACATTTGCTGGAGGAGAATAGATAAACCAATGACGAGGGTCCTCAAAGATTCAATCCCAATTCGACCAATCAAGAGCAAGAAATATATGTATTTACTGTATGTATATAAAAATCGGTACTCTAAAACATTATATAGTGCTTCGTCTGACCTTGTTCTGTGAAATAGATACATATTACTTACTTATGTACTCACACTTGACTCTATTGCTATGGTTACAATCCCTCTTTACAAATCCACTACATGTCTGACCAGAGAAATGCATATTATTTGTTCCCCTTTCCCATTCACCTGTCTTGGGTTAATAGCCAAATCCAGACATCACATGTTTCCATACACTGGACCATCCCCCCAGTCAACCTGAACAATCATGACATTGTGGCTATCACTTGCTAATCTGTTCCACTCTCTCAGAAACCTTTTCAATACACCCGTCTCCTGGTGCGCGTCGCTAACTAAAGAACAAAATGTCCAAAAAGGCAAAACAAATGTATTCACTGTATCCACCCTGCCCATTATACCTCCCCCCTAACAAAAAACTCCTCCCTTCAACTCTCTGACACTTTGCAAAAAAAAAGTGTGTGTGTATTTTTTTTTCTTGCGGCCGCTCCCCTCCTCCCTCGAGCAGCGGTGAAAGAGGCAAAGGAATTTCATTGAGAAAATGGAGGGCACTGGAAAGACTAGAGTCCCCAGTGGAGGGAGCGCAGGGCTCAGGTTGCACCCGTGGCTTCCTTTTTGTGCCGGCAGATGAACTCATAATGGAAAAATGAGCGTGGCCGCGGTAATCTGAGCCTCTCACTGGCCGGGCTCTGCCGGGAGGGGGTGAGGAGGGGGTGAGGAGGGGTGAGGCGGGGTGATACGAAGGGGCACTGGGGGGAGAAGCCAGGCCAGGGGTTTGGAACTGCAGCATATGTGATCGCTGCAGATGCAGAGGACAGAGGATGGAGCGAGTGAGGCATGAAATACTGGGTTTATCACCGGGCATTCATTCATTCATCCAGAGTTGGAAGAAGGTCCAAGTGGGTCGAGATGGTTTTCAGTTAATTTGTTAATTTACATAGAATTAAATAAGATAAATCTAATTCAGATTTACACCATAGTAGTCATAGCCGCAATAGTCAACAAATAAATATACTGCAATGAATGTTCCTTGCATCACTTTTTAACACTAACCCCCAGAGCAGTCCATTTGTCTGCTTTTTGGACGTGTCATTACTTAGTGTACATTACACTTATTTTTTATGAAATCAAGTTTTATTTCTGGAATTTGAGAAGCTTCATTCATTTGAATGTAGAATGCAGCCATTTTCTGTTGCTTGGTAACCAACATTCTATGGCAGTTAGAGCCTTTTGTTCATGGTGCTGGTCCTTGACTGGTTCTGGTTCTGGTTCTGAGCCGAGTCAGCTTGGTTTTCCATCAGAGAAGAGCAAGTGGATGTTACCATAGCAGTGCCAGGTTTACTTGCAGCAAATGGCTTTTAGCCTTTCAACAAACTGTTTTGCTGTATTAGAAATTATACTCTCCAGTTTTAGAAAATATTAAGTAATGCAATCAAAACACAAGACGAATGTTTAGTCGACTTTACATAATTGTCCTGAACTCACAAACACACAACTCAAACTCACTGTTTTCTGAGTGATTGACTGCTTTCTGTTCATTCTACACTGCAAAAGAAAAACATAATTACATTTTCACAACCTTTCAGAAAAGGCGTGCCCCACTTGCTAACGCACGTACAACAACAACACACAACCTCAAGTACAAACGCACAACAAAAGCACTTCCTTTTCATCTTTTCTGAGCGCGGACAATGCGAGCTGCCGGTTTGTGAATGGGCCTTTGGAGTTTCACATCCAAATTGGCATACCAGCACTAATCACAGCCATTGTAGTGCGTGAAAGACACCCAATGCCCCACAATAAGCAGGATACAATTAAGTCGCTCGCCCTGATGTGTCCGCCATCCTGCCCTACGGGAGTGTGGCTGCCTCATGCCAGCGCTGCAGAAGGATGTTGTCAACGGTGTGATTGGGGCTTTGATTGGTCCTTTGGCGTCTTATCACCGCGGCTGCATTCCCCAACACTGAGTCACACACGTATGCCACTGCCATCCAGTTTCTGTCAATAAAAACACACACGGCGATGGACGAACAATCAGCAGACACACCTTTTATGGGAACACAAAATACTTCAGAACAAAAGGAGTCTATTATAGATATTTTCACACGTTATTAATTTTAAGATGGATTACCTAACTCTGAAAATATTCAAAGTCAACAAACTGTAATTAGCTTTCAAAAGTGTTTGTTTCAATTTAGGATTCTCTAAAGTATTGTGTGTAAAATACTGAAGCTTGTACCAAAACTTGATACTCATTTTTTCAATTGTTACAAGACATTTGACAATTCTTTATAAATCTAAAAATATAGGGTTAGGGTCTTATTTAACTAAAAGGTATTCATAATTTGAGGTGAAAATGTACTGTTCAAAAAGAGCTGTAGTGAATTAGGGCAATCCAAATACAATTGAATGGTTTAAAA